ATGGAAATTCCAGAGATTGATTGTTGGAATGGAAAGTGCATACTCTCCCTGGAGGGACGCATCCTGCTTACCTAATTCTGGAAATTATTAGGCGCAGGTTGGCAATAGCCAAGGCTTGGGGACCCCAGAGTGTGTGTTCTGGTACTGCTGGAGTCTGACCAGTTAAAACCACATAGGTTCCCATTGATATTGCTGTCCGGCAAGCTTTCCCAATGCTTGTCCAGCTAGGACCAAGCTACCCATTAAGGCTTTGGCTTGCAGGGTTAATAGCAGTTGAGTGGGATGACTCCCTACCCCCAGTGACTGGTCTGCTCTTCCAGGTCCTGCCAATAGGCCCTCTGTGCTGTCATCAGCAGTGTCCTGGCTCAGGAACTGGCCTACCGAGACTGTCACAGAGGGCTGGCTCGATTCCGACATTCCATTGACAAGCATGTCACATACTGCAAGGCCACAATACTGGATTTATTTTATAAAATCTGTAATGTTGTGGTGGGAAGATGGAAGGGTGGGTGTTCTGGAAAGGTGAGATCAAATGGATTAAAGTGTCATATTCATCTGAACCGTTCTTGTAATTTTGTGATCTTGTGACGTATTATTGTAAAGCTTTTTTAAAATCTTTTGATTGCCTTAATGTTAAGTTGTGCTATTTAGGAGGAGGAAGGATGTGTAGGAAGAGCTACAGACAAGGACAGCTTGCACAAAGTTTCCATGTTCATGTTGCCTACTAAGTAGGCAACATGAACACTTAGTTTGCTGGAAAACACTTAGTTTGCTGAGGTGGAGGGAATTATATCCAACAGGTAACATCTGAGAAACTTCTTAGTCTAATGGAATTTAGGCAGACAATGATCGGTTTTCTATTGAGAACCATGACACCTTCCTTCAACAGTCCATCAATGGTCTCAGCAAGCTGTCCAATGAATGAATAGGTCAACGCCCACAAAAGAGTCTCAGTCAACTGGAAAGTCAAGCTTCTCAATCAGCAGACACCACTTGATAGTAAATTGAATTATTGTCTGGCTATGATCTGTCCAACACCAACTTCCCCTGCATTTGGTTGATCCAGATTTGCAGAATAACCACAATTTAGGTGCATATTTATCACCAATTGTACAGTTATAGATTGTGGTGAGAGGCACAACAAATTGCACTGGAGCTCTGCTGGAGGAAGTAGTTTTGGGAGCATGCAGCTCACATCCATTACTGTATAAACACAGCCCGTGTGAATTGCAGAAGACTCCACTCCCTCTGTGGTCTGATGAAAGCTTTCAAGGTGTCTTTTGGATTGCTCAGGAACTTTCACCAGGTGGCAATTTAAATGTTATTAAAGGGTTTATCATGCAATTTGCTCTTTAACAAGTTTAAAAGTGTAATAATTTGGATTGGAAATCAGGCATATTATCAAAGTTTATTGGCATTAGTTTATTATCATTATTGTTAATAACTAAAACATATTTATTATAGGTTATCAAATGCTCCGAGACACTACCTTGCGTGAAGCGGCACTATATAATTGCAAGTTGTTGTTGATGCTGTTGTTATTTACAGCTCCTATACAATACAGTGGGGTGTGGGAAGATTGGATTTGGCCTGCAGCTCCACATTACTGCACTGTTGAGTGTAGTTGTGCTTTCCGTTAAGGAGACATCATTTTCAGGTTTTGCCAAAATACACACAAATAATTTGAGCATTGCAATCATTGCTAATGATTTTCTCTTGCGAATCATTTTTTCAATGTTTTTCAAGTTTAGCGTTGGCATCAGTCAGGTAAGTCTGGAACTAAAATTAAAAAAGATGTCTGTTTGAGGTAAGCAATGTGGCTGACAATTATTTCTGGCAATGCTATGCAGTGTTATCTTTTCTCCCTCACTAATAGCTCAAAATTATAGCAAGCTGAGCTCTATGGCTCCATTCACTAAGGTTATTCATTTTACTTTATGGTGATTATTGTCAAGCTACATTGTAAAATAAAAGAAAACCAGGAATTGTCCTGTCAAAAGTAATTGATTTTTTGCAGGGGTCTGCCGGGTATTTGACACATCCGGAAAACCATCACCATGGAATCTATACCAGAATGAATATTCCATGCATGCTACCTACCTACACATGGAAATTTCCTTGTGTCTGGAATGGAATGGGTACCCTCTCCATGTAGGGAAGGAAACTGCTTACCTAATTCCAGAGAATATTAGGGGCAAGCTGACAATAGCCAGGCTGTGTTTTAGGATACTGCTGGAGTTTAACCAGCTAAAACAACATAACTTGCCATTAAAAGCAATGTCTAGCAAGTTTCCACTGCTTGTCCAGCTAGGACCATCCTTTCCATTAAGGCTTTAGCTTGCAGGCTTAACAGAAGCTGAATGGGAAAAATCTCTGCTCTAAGTGATTGGGCTACTCCTTTAAGTCTTGCCATTGAACAACAACAACAACAACAACAAGATTCCATTTATAAAGCGCCTTTCACGTCAGGAGGATGTCCCAAGGCACTGCACAGTTGGGTCATGACCCGAGCAGGGGGGAAATGGTCAGGGTGAGGGGAGGGGAGGGAGCGAGGAGGGGGGAAATGGTCAGGGTGAGGGGAGGGAAGGGAGGGAGCGAGGAGGGGGGATATGGTCAGGGTGAGGGGAGGGAAGGAAGGGAGCGAGGAGGGGGAAGAGAGTCGAGAGAGGAGCTGAAGGCTCGGTCAAAGAGAAAGGTTTTGAGACCGGCCTTGAAGGAGGAGAGGGAGGAAGCAAGGCGAAGGCACTGGGGGATAGAGTTCCAGAGCCTAGGGGCTGAGAGGCTGAAGGCCCGGCCACCGATGGTAGGGCGGTTGGGGCGGGGGACGTGGAGCAGACCGGAGCCGGAGGAACGGAGGGTACGGACAGGTAGGTAGGGGGATAGTAGGTTGGAGAGGTAGGAGGGAGCGAGGCCGTGAATGGCCTTGTAGGTGAGGATGAGGATCTTAAAATCAATCCTCTGGGGGATGGGGAGCCAGTGGAGGCGAGCGAGGGTGGGAGTGATGTGGTCCCGAAGCCTGGTGCGGGACAGTACACGAGCTGCAGAGTTCTGAATGACCTGCAGCTTGTGGAGGGACGTGGCGGGAAGGCCGGCGAGGAGAGAGTTCCCGTAGTCCAGCCTTGAGGTGACAAAGGCGTGGACCAGAGTTTCAGCAGCGTGAGGGGTGAGGTAATGCCGTAGTCTGGCGATGTTCCGGAGGTGATGGAAGGCGGTGCCAGTTGTGGTGCGGATGTGAGGGAGAAAGGACAGCTCAGGGTCGAACAAAAGGCTTGCTTGTCTGTCATCAGCGGTGCCCATAGCAAACCCAATTGAAACTGAACTACGGAGACCACCATAGAGGATTGACTTGTTTCCCACATTCTTGTGCCTAGCATGTCTTCCTAGAGGCAATTCGAAGGAGACTTCACTTACCGCTCTCATTCCAGCTCTGCAAAGAGCATAGTCAAAATAAATTGTAATGAATTGCTTTTTATATATCACTTACTTAAATTCTCTTTTTCCAATTGAAGTTACTGTATAAAATAAAATCAGCAAAACTGTTTGCTGTGATAATTATCATTTCGACACTCAAATATTGCGCACAGCAGTGTCCCACAAACAATCATGGATTGAGTGACCAAATTTTTTTTATAATTTATTTTGAAGGAATTATTACCCTCGGAAAAGCAATCAGTCAATCAACTAGCAACTTGGGCTACTTACTGCTAAGAAACAGAGGCGTGTGGAGTAAGGAAACTTGCACAACGTTTCACCCTGCCAGGAATGAAACCCAGGTCCTCTCTCTTGCGAGGCGAGTGCTCTAACCACTAAGCTACAGGGCTCCACGCATTGGACTCCAATATTCTCAATAAACGCATCATATCCAGGCTCACTTACACTAACTCCCTGCTTGTCGGCCTTCCCAACGCTTTCCTACACAAGCTGCAGATCATCCAGAACTCTGCAGCTCGTGTCCTCCCCGCAACAGGCTCTCCATTGCCTTGGTCCTCGCTATTGGCGGTCGGGCCTTCAGTATCTCCACCTCCACCCTTTGGAACTCCATCCCACAGTTCCTTTGCCTCGCTTCCTCCCTTGCCTCCTTCAAGGCATGTCTTCTCTTCGACCGTATCCTCGATCACCCTTCTACCCCTACCAACCCTGCCCTCTCTCTACCCCTCCTGATCCCAACAGTATCAATCCTAGTAGGAAAAAAAACTAATTATCCAAAATCTAGACTGAGGTCATACATAAAAGCAGACTGTTTTATAATAAATAATAAACAGGACTGTTTATCTGTAGAATGTGGCTCACCTGCTGCTGTGAGGTACTGAGATGTAAATGCTGACAGTTCTGCTGCCCTCCTTGTGGGCGGAGGTAAGTGGGGTCTCCTTCAGAGCTGAACTGGCACCAAGGTGACATGCTTGACAATGAAATATCCGAATTGAATGGTAGTTTCAGTAGTCCAGGACCTGAGCTAGGCAGGTCTGCAGTACTCCAAGGCACTGATGATAACAGCACAGCCAACTTGGCTCAGGACTTCAAGGGTCAGTCCATTCACTGGGGGCAGGGGTTCTTCCCATTCAACTCCTGGTAACCTTGCAAGCCAAATGGGTAGGGTGCTCCTTGCTGGACAAGTAGCGGGAAAGCTTGCTGGACAATATGTTTAATGGCAAGCTATGTAGTTTTAGTTGGTTAGCCTACAGGGGTACTTCAGCACACACTCTGGGGTCTGCAAGCTTTGGCTCTTGCCAGCCTGGGCCTAATACTCTCTGGAATTAGGTAAGCAGGATGTATCTCTCCAGGGAGAGATTTCACATTCCATTCCAATACATGGGAATTTTCATGAATAGGTGGGATCCAAGGAACTCTCAGTTTGGTTTGGATACTCATAGGTATGATGATGGGTTTCCACATGTGTCAGACACCTGTTTGATACCAAAAATTCTGCTGCCCTCAGATTTAACTGAACGGATGTGGCCGCATGACTTACAGGATACAGAATTAAACTTTGTGGTGTAACGTTGTTTTCGCTGCAGCTTACTGTGTAGTATTGAGTTTGGTTTCCTATGCTCCTCTGGTACTGTACAGTCACAATGTCAGAAAGTGCAGAGGGAGTCGAAAGGGTCTGACATGAAAAGCCATGGCTCTGCAGGCAAAATGCATTCGTCGTGCACTGTGTCTCTTTGTGTTCATAATTCTTGTCAGAGGTAAGAGTTACTGTTATTGAATAAAATTATTTCTAATGTAGCTCAGGAAGAGCAAATAGAAGTATTTTGAGTGAATCACCAGCTTCTTTGTTGAGAAAGTTAATAAACCAGCATACAGTACCTAATAATTGTCAGATATTCCTGTGTGGTGTTATGTCTACTTACATATAATAAACATATTTGGTATAGTGCCTTTCACATCAAGGGGGATTCACAAATGCTTCCTGTAAAACTGTAGTGGCTATTTTTCAGGTGAAAAAGGGATTCAAAGTGGGAACTAGAGTCTCCTTGGAGCTTAGCTGACTCCAAGGTCATGTTCAGTGATGGAATGTTGGAATTGAGTCAGCCACCTGTTTGTGCTCTTGGTAATCTAGTTCCTGAGCCAGGCGGGTCTGCAGTACTCCATTGCTGCTGCTGACAGGCCAGCCAGCCTGATTTACAGGCAGGACTTAACAGGGAAACCAATCACTGGGATCAGGGATGGTTCCCACTTGGCTCCTGTTCACCTACTTGTAGAACGGGCAGGGCAATCCTAGTTGGTCAAACAGTGATCTTATTGGCAAGCTATGTGGTTTTACATGGTTGAACTCCAGCAATTTTACAAAGTCCCCAAGCCTTAGCTCTTGCCAACCTGTACCTAATACTCTCTGGAATTAGGTAAGCAGGATGCTCCCCCAGGGAGATGAGTATACTATCCATTCAAGATACAGGGACATTTTCAGCTGGAGGTGGCATACATATGTGGAACTAAAAGTCTGGTTTGAATTACTTTGCACATAGTTGGTAGGTTTGTACATATTTCGGACACCCGGTTGACCCTCCAAAAATTAAACTAATAGGATTGCTTTGATTTAAAAACTCCTAATATTGACTTAAAATACATTCTGAGGTTCATCCAGGAATCAGATTGTACACAGGCAGTTTCTTTGTTTTTGTTAAATTGGCAAGTAGACAGTTGACTGAAGGGAAATCAAAGCATGGATACTGAATACTGGAGGAAATTTGTGGATGTTTGGAAATACTGTAAATGATGTTCCAATATACTTTGGTTTTCAGAGGCATTACTGTTGTATATATTGTCATATAATATCCCTTTGTGTGTGCCACTACACTAAATGCCGACTCTAAAGTTCATGATTTTGTTCGTGTTTAAATGGGGACACCACATTTGGCAGCAATGTTTGGATCACCAGCCAATTACATTAAACTGTGTCATCACATAGCTTATGACTTGTACCATCATATGACTTGGTAGTGGAGTTCCTGAGCCAGGCAGGTCTGCAGTACTCCAGGTCACTAGTGATGACAGTACAGACAGGCTGGTCCATCAGCAGACCATGGAATAGCAGGCGAGTCACTGGGGACAGGGACTTTTCCTACTCAGCCCCTGTTAACCCTGCAAGCCATGGGTGGGATGCTCCTTTCTGGATAAGCAGTGGGACATTTTCCAGACAGTGCTTTCGTTGACAACCTGTGCCATTTTAGCTGGTTGTAGTCTTCAGCAGTACCTCAGCACGTACTCTGGGATGCCCTAGCCTTGGCTCTCACCACCTTGCGTCTAATATTTTTTGGAATCATGGTTCTTCCCTTCAACAAGAGTGCACATTCCATTCCAGACACAGGAAAATTTATATGCAGAGGTGGTGTGTATATATATATATATATGTATGTATGTAGAGCTCTCACTCTGGTTTCAATACCCTTTAAGCATAATGATAAGTTTCACTGTGACCCACAACTGACCAATAATAAGCAAGCAATTTAAGGAACTGAAAAACTTGTGGGGAAAAAGCAAACTGAAAAGAAGAATTTCAAATGTCATTGTCCCAGATTTTAGAATATTGAATTTACGAACACTTGTTGTTTGTGTGCAAAGAACAACAACTTGTATTTATAAAGCGCCATTTACGTGGCATAGAATCTCAGAGTGCTTAACAGAGGAAACTCGAAGCTTGAAATTACTCACTGCCGTAGAACTAATGTTTTAAATTTATAATTGTGCATAATTTTGAACAATTCATCCAGCTTTCCGGAGACACCAAATAGTCCTCGGTTTTAGCCTTACTGATGTCTCATTCATAACATTCAATAGTTTGAACCCTACCTGAATTTTCTTTCTTGGCCCATTGGTTTTTAAATCCAATTTTACTATTCCTTCTGCTGTCTTACCTGAGATCAGTTACATTAGTACAGACCAAAGATCAAACCTCAAACTTTTTGGGTTTGTATGGCTCAATTTCAAATAGTGCCTTTAACAAATGAGCCAACGGGAAAACAAAGCTAGCACAGACCACTGTTTGCTTAGAATTGAATCTGTATTTAACAAACTTAATCAGGGCAGTCTGCAGAAACAGCACTAACAGTTAACCTCTGGTGTTCACAAAAATAGTAATCATCTTTATAATGAGAAATCATGAGCAAAAATACACAATAAAAGTTAGCAATAATTAGTGATTAGCAGTAGGTCTTATTTTTATCTTAATAATCTCAAAATCTTAATATTAATTATCTTATCAGTTGAGAGTCCAAACCAGAATGAGGTGCCCACAAATAATAGATAAGTAACAAATGATTCAGAACCTATGGGTTAAAGTAACATGTTGGCTTCGAGGTTTAAATCAGTGTAATGGAAAATATGTTTGATCAGAAACATGTGTTTACCAGAAAATATGTTTACCAATGAAACCTATTCTGTCAAAGCAGGCAGTGTGAGGCATCGAGAGCACTCGCTTTGCAAGCCAGAGACCTGGGTTCGATTCCCAGCAGGGCGAAACCTTGGGCAAATTTCTTTTACTCCACATGCCTAATAATAATCCCTCAAGAAAAATCAAAACAATAAAATTGGTCACTTCAGTCCACGACTGTTTGTGGGACACTGCTGTGCGCCATTCGCTGCCGCGTTTCGCCCACAAATATACAGTTAATTCACTTTACAATATATTCTGTGAAGCACTTTGAGAAGTCCAGAAGACGTGAAAAGCGCTATATCAAATGCAAGGATTATTATTATATTTAAGGACATGAAGGGAGTTTCTCCCAGTGTCCAAACCAACAATCCCCAGATAAAATTGATCCTTCACTTAATGACTGTTTGTGGGACATTGCTGTGTGCAAATTGACTTCTGCATTCATAGGAACATAGGAACAGGAGGAGGCCATTCAGCCCTTTGAGCCTGTTCCGCCATTTAATTAGATCATGGCTGATCTAAACCTTAACTAATCCTTTCAATTCCAATTTCCCCCTTCTCCCCATATCCCTTAATACCCTGACCTACCAAAAATCTATCAAATAATTTTCATCTTCAGATACACAATCACTTCACAGTAAATCCTGTGAAATGCTTTGAGACATTTTGATAATGATGATGATCAAATGCAAGAATTATTATAATCAGTATTACTATTTATATAGGAAAATATTTAGTGAAGAAATAAGTAGCAACAAACTGATAATATACAGATTGTGGGAGTTTTAAAGGGAAGCTCAAACACAGTTTCCCACAGTTCATGAAGAAAGAGCTACAGAGATCTAACTGTGAGCCTATTCCACTTGTCAGAGACAGAACACTTGTATCTGCTCCACTAACTACACTAACTGGAATTTTTTAAGCCTTGTTCAAGCTAATGACTACTTTGCAAGAGCCTCGAAGGACTCAAAATTCTGCAGTTCAAGGATTGTTGATCTCTACCTATCAGTAACAAACATAATCCACATTTATTGACAGAGGAGCAAGCAAAATTTAGCAAGCTTTATCTACAGATTTAAAAAAGAGCAAATCCATGCTAAAAGATGCATTGAAGATAAATTGAAAGATTGGTTTCGAAGCAATACCTGCTCATCAACACTATTAGTGGTACCAAGAGTGGAGAGGGAATTAGCTGGTATTGACTCCGAACAAGCAGGAAAGTGCTTAGAATTCAAAGATAGAAAACGTTGAAACTGATTATTTCCTATAGGCCTTTCAAGCCCTATATCACACTGAACCTTCACACCAACAATAACAAAAACTTGTACTTATGTAGCACCTTTTGCAAAGGATAAACATTTGGAAGGACTTCACATCTAGGTCAGAATATTCCAAGCAGGGAGGGAAAATCGTTTTGTTTGTGAACATTGGACTAAGGCATGGACAAAAAGATGGGTTTTTAGAGCATTTTGAAGGCTGACACAGAGAACAAAATGCCCCAATGTCTGAAAGTTCAATAATAGTGAGAAATAAAAAAAAGCAGAATTGAATAGTATCATAACTTCTCAAAGAGAAAGACAGATTAATACGAATACTACTAATAATAATTCTTGTATTTGATATAGTGCCTTATCACGTTTTCGAGATGTCTCAAAGTGCTTCACAGAAAATACTGTAAAGCGTAGTGACTGTATATTTTGTGGGCGAAACTTGGCAGCAGTGTCCCATAAACATAACATAACGTGTAGGAGCAGGAGTAGGCCATTCGGCTCTTCGAGCCTGCCCCGCCATTCGATCATGGCTGATCTTCTAATCTAACTCCAGCTAATAACCTAACCCTGTCTTATCCCCATATCCCTTAATCCTTTTTGCAATAAGAAATCTATCACAGTCTTGAATATGTTCAAGGACTGAGCATCAACAGCCCTTTGGGGTAATGAGTTCCATACATTCACCACCCTTTGAGTGAAGAAGTTCTTCCTCAACTCAGTGCGAAAGGGCTGGCCTCTGATTTTAAGGTTGTGACCCCTGGTTTTAGTTTCTCCAACCAGGGGAAACAATCTCCCACTATCTACTCTATCATGCCCTTTGATGATCTTATAGGTTTCTATAAGATCGCCTCTAATTCTTCTATATTCTAGAAAATATAGGCCCAAATTGGTCAGCCTATCCTCGTAACTCACCCCCTTCATCCCTGGTACTAACCTAGTAAATCTATGCTGCACCCCCTCCAAGGCAAGTACATCCTTCCTTAAATAAGGAGACCAAAACTGCACACAGTATTCCAGGTGTGGTCTCACCAGGGCCCTATAC